AATAATTAAATTAAGTTAAAAATTAATTCATTTAAAATTAACTAATTAAATTATTAACTTTTCATTTAACTTTTAACTTGTTAATTAGTTACTACCCAATCCTGCTTTTTATTGACAAAGGATGGGTGACATGGGTCGATTTTTATTTAAAAAGTGTAACGCAAATTATATATATTTAGTCTTATAATTTTTGAATCGTAAATATTCTAGTTTTATTTGTCTAAAGCCATGAGAAAATAATCAAAGTTTTTCTTAAAAGGATCGAAATACAAACAAAAATTGACTTATTTTACTTTCATCCTTTGTAGCAGAGAGACACTTTACAAAATCTATTTTTGACAAACATGACTGTTTTTTTGTATATATGTGTATACGTATGTGTGCGCGCTCGCACAGGGAGTTTAAGTGAAGGCTAATCGCTCGGGATTTCGAGAGGTGATTCAGGAATAAGAACAAAAGGTTGGTATAAAGAATAAAAATTGATATAGGCCTAGATATGCGTTGATCCTGAGATTTCTGCCAAGAGACATTAAGCAAACTACCTCCACGAGGGAGGTAGAGTTCAAACATTAGTAGGAAGGGCTGCATTCTGGTTATTACTAAGGCAGCCCGCAACTTTTGACTTTAATTATGTTATAAAATCCTCATAAGAGTCATCTTTCTTTTCAGTTTTAACAAAAAATTCGAAAGTAAAGCAATTTCAAATTTTAACATAAGAATAATGATAACTCAAAAACAAACGTATTTCCGGATCTATGTTTATATCAACTTTTTTCTTTTCTGGGATTTTCAATTACTTTCTGAGCGCCTTTTTATTTTTTAAACATCCTCTGTGCGTGTATGCACATGTGTATATACAATAAATCAGTTATTTAGAAAATATATATGTATATCATTTTGCTACAGTAATGACATAATTCAAAAAACAAAGTTTTCAGAAAATAAGTTTTAATGCTTTGAATGAGCAAAAATTTTTTTGTAATATTAATTTTGAATTGTTCAATTTACTTGAATAATTAATTTTAATATAACAATTAATTTTAATGTAACACACACAATATTCATTGTAGAGGAATAAAAGCATATTCTTTTCTTTTTCTTACATTTCTGTCATTTTTTTGTAAGTGAATATAAAAATATGTAAAAATATATAAAAATAAAAATTAATTTTTTAATTATGTCGATATTATAGCAAATAAGTACACATATACATATATACACTACCGCTCAAAAGTTTGGAGCACCTTATAATTTTTAGATAATACATATTTTTTTACAGATACAATTATTTTTTTGAAAAGATCAACATATCTATGAATGTACGCTATTTGAGAAGAGCTTAAGTTTAAAACAAAATTACATATATATTTAGTGTTAGACAACAAAACTGATTAAACTGTCTTTTTGCAAAAGAATCCCTTTTTATATTTGACTGTCTGATATCTTGGCATTCTAGTGATTAATTTTTTGATAGTTTCTGCTCCGATATTGTACCAAGCTTCTTCTAAAATTTTCCAAAGATCTTCCTTAAAAGTAGAACACTTTTTACATACAGCTCTGTCAAGCTCTTCCCACAAGAGCTCGATTGGATTTAAATCCAGCGATTGAGGAGGCGATTTTGCAGAATTCTTTCACATTCTTTTTATAATATATATATATAATATATATATTATTTTGTTGTTGTTTTAAATTTAAACTGTACTCAAATAGTGTACGTTCATATGTATATGTCGATATTTTCAATAAAATAATTGTATCTGTAAAAAAAAACATGGTTTTATCTAAAAATTATAAAGTGCTCCAAACTTTTGAGCGGTAGTGTATATATTTTTTTAACAGTTTATTTATTATATAAATCTTACCAGTAAATAAGTATACATGTACAAGTGTTTAAGCTAGAAAAAAATATATAAATCTATTTAGAGAGCTTCATGTCAACATGATAAGATCATTGACTTAAAGCTTGTTCGAATCTGTTGACAGTTGCTGTAGAAACAAATTTATGAGGCTCATTGACTATAGATTTCAAATTGATAAAATGTAATATACCCGACAAGTTTGCATATTACTTACGAATGAGAGTTGTAGAGTAAATAACAAATTTACTACTCGAGAGGAGAATGTGTTAAAAAGAACGTGACAATGAGAACGTGCGCGCGCGCGTGTGTGGTGTGTATTCGTACTGTATGCGTTTGTATGTGTGTGTGTATATATATATATATAAATCTTATCGTACTACAAATGTATATATCCGCATATTTCGCAAATAATAAATTATCGCGAGTATATAACAAGAAAGTCGATGCCCACGATAAAAGATGTCGACATTTCAAGAAGCGATAAGCGTGACAGAAAATGCAATACGAAAGATCGACATCAATGTGCGAGGATCACGGGACCAGGGTAGCGCGAGAACGGGCATCTCGCGATCGAGAAAATTAATAGATAACACTTACCACGCGGCGAGGACGTTCGTTATCAAACGACTCTTGTCAAACAGCCCTGTCTTTACAATCTATTATTACCTAAAGATAGGTTATCAAGAAATTCATGAATGAATTTCATTGAATGAATCTCTTGGTAATCTTTAATCTTTAGATAATATTGTGAAAATGGACTTTAGGATTTCGAAGTAAAGGATAGCCGCGAGAACAACGTAACCAAACGTAACTGGACTTTTTTTTTTCGTCGTCGTCGTTAAAGTGACATGAACTGACACACGCGCGCGCGCGCGCGAGCGCATGCATACACGCTTTTTTTTCTTTTTCTCTATATGCTTGAGACAGAGAAAGAGAGCGCGCGATTGAATGAGTTATCGCGATTATGCGAGGTTAAGATCGCCAATTAAATTCACGTATCGCGCAATCATCGGTTCTACCCGAGGAAATTCGGCGTGACGGCGTAACTGAGAAAAATACGCGCGTATCATTCTGTTGACGCTCGCTCAATTGAGATCTCGAGAGGCACAGAACTTGCCAAACACGCGAATAGGAACGGCCCCCGCAATCTTGCGTTGCGTGTGAGCGAATCGCATTGAGTCACATCGTAATATTAGGTGCGAAATTTTTTGTCTCGCGTCGGCGGCTTCAGTCGCTCTTTCGAATGACGATCGCAAGGTGCCGCAAAACGCGAGTCACACGCGCCGTCCTTACCTTCCTCGACAAATTGTTAGAAAAATTACTCTCCGAAGTATCGCTCCGTCGTGTCACTTCGTTACTAATGAGACACCACGCTAACCACGCATCGAGATCATCGAAATTTTACGTCCGGACTATCGCGGGGTGTGCGAACGGTATCGATCATAGTGCCATTGACAGTATATATGCTCGATCCATCGATTAATTTGAATCCAGTCTCGATATTATACTCCAAATATCACACGGTGCGAAATCTTCCAGAACACACAGTCGGTTTTATTTCGTTTCAATACCGTTTTCATACTTCATAGACGGCATGCCTTTCCCCCACCTTTCTTACCTTAACAGGGGTGCCAAACATGCAAAATTCGTTTTCACTAGGTTAAAGGCCATGACGCATAGAAAAACTTAAAGCCTGATTTATAATGGCCGTAACCGTTAACTTATGCCGGTGCCGGTAAAGTTCAACCATAGGATTTCAATGCTTTCGTTCATACTAACTTGCCGTATTAGTATGAACGAAAGCATTGAAATCCTATGGTTGAACTTTACCGGCACCGGCATAAGTTAACGGTTACGGCCATTATAAATCGGGCTTAAGTCGGGAGCAAATAGAAAAACGTAAGGCCGTAAGACGTAATCAGTAAGCAAATTGGCCAATCACAGTAGAGACCGTAAGGTTGGTAGCGAATCCAATGTAAAGGCCATCACACGTACAAAAATTTAGTCATAAGGGTGAAATCACACGGTGCGGAAAAAGACTGCGGAATAGAGAATGCGTCATTGAAGAAATCAATCAGCGCTATTCCGAATAGCGCTGAATAGCGTTGATTGGTTGCTTCAATGACGCATTCTCTATTCCGCAGTCTTTTTCCGCACCGTGTGATTTCACCCTAAGTCCGGATCTACAATAGGTGTTTTACTTAAGTCGTAAGAAATTGACCAATTACAGTTGAATTCAAGGAGAATAATCGACTGTGATTCGCCCATTTCTTATGGCTTCAGGCTTAAAACACCTATTGTAGATCTGAGATAATTCGCCCATTTCTTATGGCTTAAGGCTTAAAACTCTATTGTAGATCCGGGGTAAAGGCCATCATGCGTCGTCTACAATGGCAGAATCAGTAATGGATAAGGCTGTAAGAGTAAGAAATTGACCAATCACAGTTGAATGTAAGAAGGATAATCGACTGATTGGTCAATTTCTTAATCTTAAGAGCGGAATCCATAGACGGTGCTCAAGATTCGAGATGATCTTAAGCTAGTGCATGAACCAATCAGAGAGCTGTATTAGCATCTTAAGCGTAAGCGAATTGGCCAATCACGGTAGAGACCGTAAAGCCAGTAGCGAATCCAATCTAGTGCGTGGTCTACAATGGCAGTATCAGTAATAGATGAGGCTGTAAGAATAAGAAATTGACCAATCACAGTTGAATGTAAGAAGGATAATCGACTGATTGGTCAATTTCTTACTCTTACTTCTTAAACCAAGCTTACTATGGCTGGGTTCCAAAATTGACTGCCAGTACTGAAAATCTATAATGTACGTAACGTAAACTGTAGCATTTTCTGTGCTGGCAGTAAATTTGGAACACAGCCTATGTGTATTGTAGACGGGCCATTAGACGTCGTCTGCTCATGAGCTGTTCAAATTGGCCGTTTCAGTGACAAAAGTCATGTAAGTACTTTTTTTTTATTTTTTTTTTTTCGGATATTTTCTTCAAAGGTGCCAAATGGATTACTGCAAACCTTTTAGCACTTCTGAAAAAAATCTTCAAAAGTATTAAAGAAAAAATTGTTATATATATAAATATCTCTAAATCTTTCCTTTTGTACAAAAATATAATCGCAACTATACTCGTGAATATTTTATACATCAATAACTTCGATAAGCGTATTCATATATTAATTTTATAAGAAACTGGAAATTACTGGAAGTAGCAAGTTCCCCGAGCTCTGGTTCCTTCAGAAGCATATCAATGTGTGGCAAAAATTCATCTACTTTTCCACCTAAAAACGATAAAAATGCAAACATTAATTTAAATTAAAAATCTCATTCTTTCAATAAATTACTTATCAATGTGTCTTTGAATATACTTACCCATAAAGTAAGTAAGATCCATTAACTTGAAAAGTAGCGTCTCCTGAACCTGTTGCTCAGGATTCTTTTCCACATTGTCCCACTGATTTCGCCGAGCCGCACGCGCCCATATTTGTAATCTCAGCGATGATTTATCTTCTTCATGTTCTACATAGTCCAGCAAATCAAGGGCCTTCTTGAAATCGTACTCATTGGCGATAACATTGTCATTCGAGGTATAAAGCATAATTAATTCTCGCGGTGTGAGCACCCGCAGCTTTTTAATATCGTAGCCATATGCCGTGAGCACCTGTGCCGGCAGATCTTCCTGATAAGCTATGAGCGTTAATTCATTATCAATCGTTTTCACGCAGTCCATTACTTTATCCTCCGATTCGTCCGACGCGAGCAGAGCCAGTTTGGCCAACGATAGCATCGACTTTTTACGAGTGACTAGCTCGGATTCTTGAACCGCTAAGGTATGAAGCGTATTGGCGGCGAATCGCAGCTCATCAGTCAATGCAGCTTGCACCCAGGACAAAGTAGGATGCTCCGACAGCTTTTCCGTTAGCTCCGCGGTACCGCCGCGTCTGCATCTCTCAACCAATTGACCCTGACGTCCGTCTTTCACGTACCAAGAGAATAAGAAGCCAGCGAAATCTTGAACCGCAAATTTCTCGATGTATCCGTCTAGTCGATTCTTATTGTCGGTTAACTCGCAGATCTGTACGAGCGAAGGAAAGTCACAATATTTCTCAGCAAGCATCGCGGCGTTATCATATTGTTCTTCCTTTATCAGCGGTTGTATCAAATTAGCGCGCTCTGTCTCATATTGCTTTAGGAGAACTTCGAATTTTTCTGTGCCACGAATGCTCTCTAAGTGACATTTTCTCCCATCCAATATCAAATCAATCAGACTAACTAATTGCTCATACAGCTCGTTCCTCACAGTGGAGTCGCCGGTTCCTGTTATACCGTGCTTGATGGTGATACTCTGCATCGTATTAAGACAGCTTCTCAACCCATCCTTACCTGGCGCAGCTGTCCAAGGAAGGTATTCTGTTATTTCATTGGAAAACTTGGCAGGGACGAAGCGTTCAGCGTTATACTGACGATACTTTACTACCTCGTATAATACAGTCAATAAAATGGTATTGACTTGCATGATGTATTGTCCAACTTGTTGCAAAGGTCTTTCAGATTGCGTGACTTCATGCGCCTTCTCTACCAATATTGGCAGGAATAGATGCACTGTGCTTACCTCACGATAGAATACATCGCACACTGTCAGCTCATCAGACACATACGCATCTTTCTCATTCAAAGTTTGGTTCACAACAGCATCTATGATCTCTGCATATCTATTTTGCAAACTGTACAGTGTCACTGCCGCAACTACTTTCTCTGCGTATTCACCGAGCACATGAGATGTGGACATAATAGTACCCCTACACGTAACAGCACAAAACCTATTCCACAAGTTGTGCTCTTTCAAGAACATTATAAAGAGATCTAACGCTTTTTGCTTACCCTCCAGCTGATGTGGTATTTGCATAGAAGTGACCGCGTTCATCGTTATTGACAGATCTCTATGGTGGGCCCATCTCGGATCATTGGCCGGATAATCGTCGATTAAATCCTTCGCGACCTTTAAAATGAGCGTGTCAAGAGTAGCATCGATGTCCATTACCGGGTCCTCCTGCAGAGGGAACAGCTGGGAGAGAATCTCATTACATTGTGCTTTATTCTGTCGAAGGCTGAGGAGAAAGGCGGCACGTAATTGTGTGACTGTATCAGAACTGCAATACATATCCTGCAACTCGTCGTTACTTATAAGAGTGGAAAAGTTTTGGGCCGTTTGATTTACTTTATAGGTGTAATCCATACTCATGGTAGTGTCCGTGTATCCAGTGTTGAAATCTTGCACTGCAAAGTCTACCGGTACAATGGACACAAGACCGATACTTTTTGTGAACAATACCGGAGTCGCTGAGCATATAGCACCGCCGAGTATACCGTCCTCGCTGCCTCTCACCAGATCGATCTTATCTTGCTCGACCTCAGACGCAGTGTTAACCACAAGTACATTATGCCGATTGTATATAATCGCCTCCCAACCGCACAATATGAAATGATAAGAAACTAGTCTCGACTCTATATCATTGTGATAAAATATTGGATCGATTTTCACCGGTATAAACCATTTAAATGAGTTTGATAGTGTCGTGCCGACTAAAGGCAATAGTCCGAGTGCAAAATGAATTTGAATAGAAATATCAGCGCAATAGGCTGCCATTAAAAGGACTATTCCTTCTTCACACGTTTGCATATCAACGAACCATGTGCTCATATTTTGAGTGCTGAACGATATCAGTGATGTCTTCGTCAAATTCCATTTTCTCCTGTTCGTTATGAGAAAAGAACCAATATTGCAAAGAAGATCCGGCAAGAATGAGAACTCTTGATCCTCTCTCGTTCAGTAATGTGCACGTAACTTTTACCAATTTCGTCTCTGTAACAGGCGACTGTGGTATCGCTCCAAAAATGAGGGAGGTCATTTTGCGACCTATACCACCGAGCCATCCTTGACTCGTTCGAAGCACTTGGCATGTAATATTGTTCTTTCCATTGTTGAATTGCGGCTGTAAGAGCGCTACCGTACATGTGGTAGTGGCTAGAATGCACCCATGGCCTGGAACGTGTATAAGACAATCTACTTCTTGTCCTGCAAGCTCAGCACTTGTCTCCACAGAAGATCCTTCATGTGCCACACTCGCCCAGAAACGCACTACTCCTTCTGGCGAGACTGCCATGCAACTAGGAACCTAAGAACAAACATGTAATTTCATATACATACATATATATATATATATATAAAAGGGGAGAAGGGCTAAGCTCGTATTTGAATCTTGAGTGGCAAAAATATATCTTATGAATTCCCAATTTATATTGTAGATAGCATCTTGTGTGTCTTCTTTACCAACAAAGTTTGGTTACTTTAGGTGCCGCGTTGTTATGTTTAAATAGTCAAACGTGTTTTCGATAGTCAAAAGTAATTTTGGAGATTTCATTTTCAGAATCACATCATTTTTTGTGCATATGGATGAAATGAAATTGCAAACACCAAAACTTTTTATTGCCATCTTATAGTCTTATAATCACTATAAAACGCTAATAATCATTTGACTAAAATCGTTTACTTTGTTACTGAAAATTGCAATTGAAAAAAAAAAGTGTCCACTTAGCCCCGGTATAATCTCCCCTGTATAATCAGGATTGGGAAGTAATGCCTTACAAATTTTCAAGACATACGTTATGAAAAATAAATAGCTAACTTTATTTTTATTCAGTGTAACAGTGTATTCAGATTAAATTTATTATTATTTTTTAATTATTAACTTTCATTATTTTTTTATTTTTATTAATTATTATATTTTCGTTTTTCTTATTCAATCTTAGCAGCGCTAAGTGTTACAATCTGCATTACAATCTAAATTCTTAAAGCATATCTTAAAAAATAAAAATATTAATATAAAAAATTATAGAACATTTATTAAGTAAGTTTAAGGGGATGCTAGAGGTACCCCGATGGAACATGCAATCCGTATTTTTTATTATTGTCTTGTACGTAATATATACAGGATTTGAGAGAGAGAGAAAAAGTTAAAACCTTTTTTAAAAAAAAAACTAAAAAATTGAATAAGAAATAAGATCCGACCATGTAAATGTACAATGTATGTACAGAGAAGCCCCAACGATTGGTCAAAGTTAGATGTTATGAATAAAAAATTGAAATAATTGATATAATACATTGAAACAATTTGCTACCTATGTTGATAATGCATGAATACATTACAAATAAAATTATAGTAGTTCAATCTTTTATTACCTGGTGACCAGGCAGCACCCAAACTGCTATACAGTCTGCTTTATGAGCTAGATCACTTTGAGGCAATAACAATTCACGACATTGACTCTTAAAGGTTCTCCTCTGTTTTGAATCATGAATATTAGCTTTACATTGCCATACAAGTAATTTACGGCCATAAACAAGCCAGGCCCAACCATCCTCAGATATATTAACGCTAACAGCTGTATTCCGATCTACAAATGTCAATGCCTCTGTAACCAGGACTGGTAATGGAGAACCAAAATTCTCTACTACATGACTTTGTGTCCTGCATATTACTTGTATAGATTGATTTGTACGTCCAGCTGCACTAGTTGTGCTAAAGATGAAATAAAACATTATTAGAATGAATAATGCTGATTGTACAGTTTAGCATACCCCACAGCTCAAAAATCAATAAAATTAGGTTCATTCTGCCAGATTCTTTTGTTCTATGCATTCTACACGTCGAATGAGCTTAATTTTATTGAAACTTTTGAGCTGCGAGGTGCTAAACTGCATAATTATATCCCTGTACTATAATACTGTATAATTATCACTGTACAAATGCTTTTTCTCTTAATTCATATATTATTCTACATGACATAAAGAAACTTCCTTATGTAATAAATTCCATGATTGTAATATTATATGCAAAGAAACTTACGAGCTATTTTTCTTTAGCGATTGAATGATCGACAATCGTTTCCTAGGTGAAGCTACTGTTTTTCCCAACGGACTTGTCATGTTTGTACGATCCATTTTCTTAAATCAATAACTACTTCAAGAAAACCTATATCTTAATCTTTTACTAAATACTCGATAGAATCTTATGATTTTATAAAACATGTAAATCTCTACATTCGATTTATACCTTCAATTTACACTACTTATTTCGCGGTTTTCAAACTAGGTTAAGCGGCGTAATAAATTAAACCGGCACAAACCGGCGCACGAATCTTCGCTAGCGAAGACTCTCCAGTCCCTATTCCGCAGTAAAGCTGGTTCTACATTAGGCGTCGTCTACAATATGCGAAGTAAGCTTGGTTTAAGAAGAGTAAAAAATTGACCAATCACAGTCGATTATTCTTCTCACATTCGACTCTGGTCAATTTCTTACTCTTACTTCTTAAACTAAGCTTACTACGTGTATTGTAGACGGGCCATTAGTCGCATCGTAGCGTCGCAAGCGTTGCGGTCCAATCAACATCAATCTAGCTCTCTCACTCTAATTGGACACACGCTTGCGACACTGCTCACTGAGCGCTCAGTGAGCTCTTGCATCTGATTGGCATATTCCGTTAGAACTAAAAATATAGACCAAACAGATACAAGCGCTCACTGAGCGCTCAGTGAGCGATCGTGGTACTGAATGCACCCAATGGCTCCTGCACACACGCTTGCCGCGCGACGGAACTTGGCGTAACAGCCAATCAACGTCTCACTTGCTCGGAAGTAATATGCTGGATTCACACTGCATCCGATTTTCGTA